GCTTTCCTAGTCTCTTGCCTTTTGACAAAGAGAAAAAAAAAAAAAAAAAAAGATGCTTGTGGTCCTAGTCACGAGTGCCATCTCTTGTAAATGCTTGAATCTGGAATGAGTTTTTAAAGATTGTCTATGAAACTAATATTAAACTTTGTACCCTAGTTGTCATGAAAAAAAAAATGAGAGCTGGTGGGATGGTGGAGGTAATTTGAATTCTTGACAATTATTTCCTCCAAAAGGCTCACTCTTTTGCCAGACTGAGGTTGTCTCCACCTCAATAAGATCATTGTTCGTGTTTTTTTTTCTCTTGTTTTCATTATAAAAGCATTCTAGGCTGGGTGTGGCAGTGGCTTATGCCTGTAAATCCCAGCACTGTTGGGACTGGCCAGAGTGATATGTGGTGATCATCTTGAGGTTGTCCTGAAAGTTTGAAGACCAGCCTGTGTCTAGAGCTGTTTTGTTTGTGGTGATTAGCCCAGCAAAATAACCAGCTAACATCATAATGACAGGATCAAATTCACACATAACAATGTTAACCTTAAATGTAAATGGGCTAAATGCTCCAATTAAAAGACACAGACTGGCAAATTGGATGGAGTCAAGACCCATCAGTGTGCTATATTCAAGAATTATTTTTTTAAAAAACGATAAGAGCACATGGGCACATGGGGGCAACAACACATACTGGGGCCTGTCAGGAGGGTGTTGGGGGAGGGAGAGCATCAGGAAGAATAGGTAGTGGTTTCTGGGCTTAATACCCAGGTGATGAGATGATCTGTGCAGCAAACCACCATGGCACACGTTCACCTGTGTAACAAACCTGCACATATACCCCTGAACTTAAAAGTTGAAGAAAAATAAATCAATCAATAAATAAAAAGCATTCTATGGCCAGGTTGCAGTGGCTCATGCCTGTAATCCCAGCACTTTGGGAAGGAAGCTGAGGTGGGTAGATTGCTTGAGCCGAGGAGTTCAAGACCAGCCTGGGCAACGTGGCGAAACCCCATCTCTACAAAATATACAAAAAAATTAGCTGGGTGTAGTGGCGTACACCTGTAGTCCCAATAGGAGGATGACTTGAGCCCAGGAGGTGGAGGTTGCAGTGAGCCAAGATTGTGCCATTGCACTCCAGCTTGGGGAACATAGTGAGACTCTGTCTCTTATAAATAAATAAATAAAAAGGGATTGTAACCACATTTGCCAAAAACAAAACAAAACAAAACAAAAACCTAGAAAATAGCCAATCTAAAACAATCAACCACAGTTCAAATAACTTAACTGTATTTTGATTTGTTCTTTCCCCAGGTTTGAAGCATTTTTAAATATGTGATAATTAGAGTACAAACAAGTGAAGTCTCAGTTTTTCATTGATTTTTTTCATAAGATAAACATTTTTCTGTGACATTGCATAACCGTCAGTTTCAATAAGCTAAGCAGCCAGCTCTCTAAGGAGTAAAAGAAGTCTCTAAAAGCAGTGGCTTTGCTCCCTTACCAGAGGCCTGCAGCTGACCAGAAAGGAAAGTGAGGATATGCGTGTTCAGGGCACTGCGTGGTACGTCACTGGAAACCAACTCCAACCAGCTCTTTCCTTGTTCCTTGTTTTGTTCCAATCACTATTGACAAGGGAAGTGTAGCTAAAAGCTGCATTCATCTCTGTCTCCTCCCTTCTGTCTTTAGACTTTGTTGCTTAAAATAACAGCAAGCCTCAGGGTAGGTTTGCTCCAGAGTGTCCCAGTTTTAGCACTGAATGTCTTGCTGGGCAACTCCTGTCCAGGGCAAACTGGGACAGTTGGTCACCCTACCAGGGGAGAAGTGAGATGAGTGTGCAGACATATTTGGCCAACCTGTCCCTGTCAGAGCTAAGGTCCTGCCTGTAACTTTTCTATCAGGATGTGCGTAGCCAGCGTGTGCCCTTGGGCTTCAGGACCACCTCTATGCCATGCCCACCTGCTTCTCATGCTCAGTCACTGGATTCTGGGCTATCTCATCTACTCATCCAGCCTAGAGGCACCTAACTGGGATATTCCTGTAGGGGCTCATGAGAATAAATGTGACATTTAGGTGAAAATAAGAGCTCTGGAATTCTTATGTTTAATGCTGGCCTGCCTTAAGCGTCAGCTTTGAAATCACTTCTCATGATCATTATTCTGGTTTATTTTTTGTTGCATTTGACTTATGTGCCCTTCAGAAATACAAATGGTTTCCTTGCTTTGCAAAGGAAGGGTTTCCATTTGTACCCAAAAGTACACATCGCCTGTGTGAGATTGTGCAGTTCAGCTCTTCACTGTTTTTTGGTCCAGAGAGTTGGTGCTCTTGTTATAATAAGTCTTGACTAACAAGAGAAGCAACTCAGGGATGGTCCTCATTCCACGTCAGTTCAACATGTAATATAGTGCTGTACATATAAATTTGTTTTTGCTGTAACATGGGGACTTTGCTGTTGCCCCTTAAGGATGAAAAAACATCACATTGATTTCAAAATATAGTAATGATTGTCAGTAAAGAAAGCTGTGGGAGACACATGAGAGATGCAAGCTGCCTATAGTGGCCATGAAGAGTAAAACTAAATGGATGTGCTATGAATTTGCTGATTGATCAGCATCTTTTACACCGAATTCTAGAAGAAGAATCACTTTATGCATGATGTTCTTTGCTAATCAGCTATAATCAGGTCTTCCTAGAATGGCGAAGTAATTAAACCTTGTTCACTGGTACTGATCATATGTAATTGTTTCCATACTGTTGGCCAAAACAACTATAGGAGGTTTTGCAGAGGCCATAAGTACTCAAGGTCTTTGAGGTAATTTCTCTGTATAAACAATGCAAATATTTTATGACTGGAGTTGAGTTGAATTTTTTTCACAGGCTTTAAATCTATCAGGATTTTCCTGTGGGTTTCTTCTTAGGGGAGTGGGGGTGGTGATGGTGACTGACTAACTTGAAAGGCCTCATGTTCCTGCAGTGGGGGCCCGGGGCTCTTTCATCTTAGTCTGACTGCTGTCCCACTGCTGCTTGAGGATTTGGAGTGTGTAAAAGTCCTGGACTTTTTAATTATGTTTGAGCCTTTTAAGAAGCCCGCACCATAAAGGGAAAGACGGAAACATATGCAGTGAAATATTTTATATCCAATTTGAGGATTCAACCAAAGGTCTCCACCCGGGCCAAATAGATCAGAGCCTTCAAATAGATCAAAGGTAGCATGGAGTTGAGGCTGACCTCTTTGTTGGAGGTGGAGTGGCAATACTTTATGATAATATGTTAGTTGCACAGAAGTAGCATTAAAGTAGAAAAAAGGAGGGTATATTACTCAGATTTCCACCATCTAAATTAATTATTAACATTTTTCAAACTTTGTATTCCATGTATGTGAATATGTACACTGATTTTTATAGTTATAATCGTGATATACATTATATTTGACTTTCTGCTTTCATACGTAACATTATGTGATAAGCGTTTCCCACATTGCATCATGGTTCAACGAAACATTTTTAAATGGTGTTATAATATCCTACAGAATTCCTGTACTGCTGTGCATTTACCTACTCAGTTATAGGACTTCTGGACTGTGTTTGAGTTTTTTATTATAAGACTCAATGAATATATATAATTTTTAAAAAATTCTTTGGACCTGTTTTCCTAGAATATATTCTACAAGTTGAAATTACTGGGACAAGGAATTTCAACATTTTTAAGTTTGGGGGCAGAAAATTGGCTACTGCTTTTCTGAAAAGTAGAACCATTTTATACTGTCCCCATTAGTTCTTCAACTTTATCAGAATTGGGAGTTATCTGAATTCTTTTTACAAGCAAATGGAAAATTGTTTTAGGATTAAAGAAAAGAATTACCTCAGTGTTGTTTTTCCTGTGATAACCATCAGTTTGACACACACACAAAATTGTATTCTAGGAAGAAAGAACATTCCTCACTGTTGACAAGCAGCTGTCATATTTTTAAAAAGGAAGTTTTACAAGTGGCATGGCAGGCATAGTTGCTTCCAATAAGAAACAAATTTGAGGCACCTGAAGCTCTGTCTGCTGCTGCAAAACAATTATACTTGCCACTGAAATCAGTGTAGGAGAGGAGGACAATATGGATTAGCAATACCCAAGAGAATGCTCAGCTTGCCAGTGACTGCAGTGCCTGAAGTTGAAGTTAATGAAATGCAGGCTTCATGAGAATCCTAGGGGGTAGTATTCCTTAGTTCCACTAAAATGTAACCACAGTCCTCTGTGTTAACATAGCCATAAATCCAAGTAAAACCTGTATATATGTATCACTGGGTAATACAACACAAATGTTTTTGCAACCAAGAGAGGCCTTTATGCAGATTACTATGAAAAATGCAGTGGTAGAGACAAGGCTTGAGTTTATTTCAGATTGTTGTTGTTTATGGCTAACTAGAAGAAAATCTCAGAGAGATTCTTGTCTCTTTTTCTCTCTCACTGGCTCACTGTTTATACCTGGCTTGATTCATGAGCTTCACCTCCTCAATCTTGCATTTGCTGATGGCTTGATTTCATTTCAGGTTCTGATGTACAATGGCCAACTGGACGTCATCGTGGCAGCTGCCCTGACAGAGCGCTCCTTGATGGGTATGGACTGGAAAGGATCCCAGGAATACAAGAAGGCAGAGAAAAAAGTTTGGAAGATCTTTAAATCTGACAATGAAGTGGCTGGTTACGTCCGGCAAGTGGGTGACTTCCATCAGGTAGGACAATGCTTGGGAGCAGGCAGGTTGTGGGAATGGGAGAATGGGATTGAAAAGAAAGCCTGAATACCAATGAGACATGGCCGACCTTAAGCAAAGCCATACAACAGCCAGTGTGTGTCTTCTGTGGCCCTGCTTTCCACAGAGAAGAGTGGTCTGAGTTCATACATACATAGGACTAAATATAAAACCAGACAAAAGTTTAGGCATTGTTCAAGAGGTAAGGAGCCAATTCATTAAAAAGACAGTGCTCAGTCCAAAGAAGCAAATCATTAATGAGAGAATTGCATTGTATTTGGGGAGAGAACTTGACAAATTGTAAGAGGAACTTTCAACACAATCTGTTCTGGCAAACGTGTGATCACATTTTTGTATTACATGTGGAGCCTCAGGACAAAATCTCTCTAGCTGATATCCTAGTGCAACCTCCACTTTGGGGTCAGATGTTACTCTCATCATCTTCCTTTCTTGTAATGTCCTCTTCAAGTTTTGGAATCATGGTTATATTGGCCTCATAAGTTGGGAAGTGTTTCCTCTTTCCGTTGTTGGAAACAGTATCTTTAAGTGTTAGGAGAATTCACTGGTGAAGCCATCTGGGCCTGGAGATTCTTTTGAAGGAAGGGTTTTGTTGTTGGTATATAATAAGTGTACATCTTTATAGAATACATGTAATATTTTGATACATGCATTTAATGTTAATGACCAAATCAGTGTATTTAGGCTATCCATCACTTTAAACATGTATCATTTCGTTATATTGGGAACATTTCAAATCTCTTCTAGCTATTTTGAAATATACAATATATCGTTCTTAACTATAGTCACCCTACTGTGCTATTGAACACTAGAATTTATTCCTTCTATCTAACTGTCTGCACCCATTAACCAATCTCTCTTCATCTTTCCACCCATCCCCACTTCCCAGCCTCTGGTAACTATCATTCTATTCTTTACCTCTGTGAAATTAACTTTTTGCGCTCCCACATATGAGTGAGAACATACGATATTTGTCTTTCTGTGCCTGTCTTATTTCATTTAACATAATGACCTCCAGTTCCATCCATGTCACTGCAAGTGATAGGATTTCATTCTTTTTATGGCTTAGTAATATTCCATTGTGTAGATATGCCACATTTTTTAAATCCATTCATCTGTTTATGGACACTTAGGGTGATTCCATGTCATGGCTTTTGTGAATAGTACTATAATAAACATGGAGTGCAGATATTCCTTTGATATACTGATTTCTTTTCCTTTAGAAAAATACTGAGTAGTGGAATTACTGCAGCATATGGTAATTCTATTTGTAGTTTTTTAAGAAACCTCCATATTGTTTTCTATAATGGTTGTACTAATTTACATTCCTGCTAATAGTGTATGAGTTCATTTTCTCTGCATCCTCATCAGCATCTGTTATTTTTTGTCTTTTTGGTAATAACCATTCTAACTCCAATGAGATGATACCTCATTGTGGTTTTAATTTGCATTTCCCTGATGATTAGTGATGTTGAGCCTTTGTCCATATACCTGTTGGGCACCTGTATGTCTTCTTTTGAGAAATATCTATTAAGATCCTTTCCTCATTTTTTAATGGTATTATTTGTGTTTTGTGCTCCTCAGTTGCTTGAGTTCCTTGTATATTCTGGATGTTAGTCTTCGGTCAGATGGATAGTTGGCAGATATTTTCTCCCATTCTACAGGTTGTCTCTTCACTGTATTGATTGTTCCCTTTGCTGTGAAGAAACTTTTTAGTTTTTGTCTGTTTGTCCATTTGTGGGTTTGTTGCCTATGCTTTTTGGGTCTTAGCCATAAAAGCTTTACATACATGAGTGTCCTGAAGTGTTTGCCCTGTTTTCTTTTAGTGGTTTTACCATTTTGAGTCTTATGTTTAAATCTTTAATCCATTTGAGCTTATTTTACATGTATATGGTGAGAGATAGGGGTTTAGTTTTTGAGCTTATTCTACGTGTATATGGTGAGAGACAGGGGTTTAGTTTCATTCTTCTGCATATGGATCCCAGTTTACCCAGCACCATTCATTGAAGAGGGTGTCCTTTCCCCAGTGTATGTTCTTGTCAGCTTTGTCAAAGATTATTTGGCTATAAATACATGGATTTATTTCTGGGTTTCCTATTCTGTGCCATTAGTCTATGTGCCTGTTTTTATACTAATACCTTGCCATTTTGGTTATTATTGCTTTGTAGTATATTTTGAAATCAAGTAGTGTGATGCCTCCAACTTTGTTCTTTTTGCTCAGTATTGCTATGACTATTTGGGGTCTTTTGTGGTCCATGTGAACTTTAAAACTTTTTTTTCTGTTTCTGTGACAATTGCCATTGGTATTTTAATAATTATGCATTGAACCTGTAGATTGCTTTAGAGTCAGTATGATCATTTTAATGATGTTAATTTTTCCAACCATGAGCATGAAATGTCTTCCATTTGTTTGTGTCCTCTTCAACTTCTTTTTCTTTTTTTTTTTTTAAATTTATTTATCTATTATTATCTACTTTAAGGTTGTAGGGTTAATGTGCATAACGTGCAAGGTTTTTTTTCTTACATATATACTTGTGCCAATGTGGT